AATTATACATGGAATAAGCATACGATAATATGTGTTGTGATACTTTAAATTGGATCTTAAGATTGATGGGGTTTCCTGATAAGATTGCTAATCTTATTTTTCAATGTGTAAGCCATCTCAAGTTCCCTATCATTATTAATGGAAGCAAGAGTGAATGGATCACCGCTGAATGCAGATTTCGACAAGGATGTTTGCTTTCTCCTTGTCTTTTTATATTATGCTCTGAATTATTATCTAAAGCTTTTCATGAAAGAGGCAATTAGCTTGGAATTAAACATGCCTGAAATGTTGAAAAAGTTACTCATCTTTTGTATGCATATGATGTATTAGTAGTGGCAGAAGCTGTATGAAAAAATTGAAAATTTTCAAAAAAATTTTTGATAGATTATTGCAAACGGACAGGTCAACAGGTTAACATGAGTAAATCTATAATTTTGTATGGGAAAATGATTTCTACGTTGAGGAGAAGAAAGATTAACAATCTTTTGAGTTTTAGAACAATAGAGGAAATTATCTATCTAGGAGTCAAAATGGAAATTAGAAGACTGAAAGCTTCAAATTTCCAACATGTTTTACAAAAGGCAATGGAGAAAATTAGTACTTGGGGCTCTCACTTCTTATCTTTGGCGGGCAAAATTTTATTGGTGAAAACAACTGATTCTTCTATTCCTTCTTTCTTTATGGCTCATTCAATGATTCCAAGAGGAGTTCTTAATGATATTGACAAATTTTGTAGAAAATTTTTATGGCATAAGGAGCAAGGAAGGCAAGGTTAGCATTTTATATCATGGAATAGGTTATACACGTCAACAAAGATGGAAGGCCTTGTTATTCAAGGAGAAGTTGAAAGGTTTGGTCTTATTAGAACCCGTATAGCCTGAAATTTTATTCAAAAAAAAGATTCTCTTCTAATTAGAATTCTAAAAGCTAAATATGGTGAAGCTATAAAAAGGAATGCATCTCCTACTTGGCTTATTATTAAAGATAGAGCTTAATTTTTGAAACCAATCATAAGATGGCATGTGAGTAATGGATCAAAAATAAGTATTACCAACAATATCTGGATTCTTGGTAGATCCTTGAACAAATGACCAGCTACCGGTAATATTCAGCGTCTTAGGCTTTGTTTGGGACGGCTTTCTTGATGCTTCTTAAAGCAGTTTTTTAGTACAAAAATTAAAATTTTATGCTAGAAGGATGCTTTGAAAAGCAGAAAGAAAGCCGTCCCAAACGAAGCCTTAATGACAATTTTGTGGCTTTTCTTTTGAATGAAGAGGGAAAGTGAGATATTTAAAAATTTATTTTTCTGAAGAAATGATTCAAAGGATTCTTACTATTCATATTGATAATAAAGCAGGGGATGACTTTCCAGAATTAATTGTTTCAAACTCTAGAAAATCTATTACTGCCTTGGTTTATGAAGCATCATTTCAAAATGAACAACTTGCTGGTACAGAGCTAAAATGGCGCCTGAAAACGCTTAAAAGTTTTCTTAAGGAATTCTTATTTTGGTGGAGGCTTTGCAATGATTGTTTGCCAACAAATGTGTGGCTTAATCGTAGAAGACTACATGACATTACTGTTTGTCCGAGAACATGTTCAGAATATGAAGACCTGAATCATATATAAATTCATTGCAATAAGCTTAAAGAAATTGTGGAAGTTTTCAAACAATGGGGGTTAAATTTACCTACATTCAGAAATCAAATATTGCTTCTATAGCAGTTGTTCTAAGATACGACAAAGGCATAATGTTGTTCTATTATGAGAAGCAGGTTATTCATTGGGACATTTCTTTGCTAGAATTGATTGCCATTTTCAATTTTAAATACATTACTCAAGATTGGATGAAGGAAAAAAAAAAAAAAAAGGAATCATTATAGAAGGAGATAATAAGAATGTAATTAAGGTGACGCAGAACTCGATTTCCAACCATTTAGGAAGAAGCGATCTCGTTCAGCAATTGGATTTTTCTTTTATAGAAGTATTTATGAATATTATTTTCCATTATGTTTCTAGAGACTGTAATAGAGCTGTCGATTTTTGTGCTCATCATGCTCTTTTAAGAGATTTTTTTGGGATGTTTTTGTTAATAGTGAACTTCCTATAGATTTTGTTGACTTGGTTAGGAAGGATTGTGATAGGTTCTCTATCACACAGTAGGTTCTAATTTCTCTTTTCTTGTTTAATGCAATTTGCAAATTTTCAAAAAAAAAAAAAAAAAAACTAGGGTATTTATGCTTGAAAATATTGATAAGGGTTACTAGATTTTTTTACAAATTTAATCAAAATGTTTACAATTTTACATAAAATTTAGCAATTTTTTATTATTCAATAGATTTGCTTAATTTTAAAAAAATAATTTTATGATTTAAATAAAAAATTATTAAGATAACTTCTATTTATGTAAAAAGATAAAAATAAAAGAACTTACTATATTACGCACCTCAGGTGTATGACTTAGACATGTCACCAGCAACAACAACCGACTAGTTGGCTTGGGTTAGTTTGAGCATGATTTTGGGTCTCGTCAGCCTATTATATAATTTTAGGTCCTTAAAAATATTTTTTGATATTATTGACTCAATTTTAACAGTTTTATAGCCCAACAAACTCTAAAATCATGTTCAAACAAATTTGGAGACACAACTCTCCTTGGCCTATTGGTTGAGAGCTAAGGCTTCCAACTAAGAGGTCTAAGGTTCGAGTCTATGTGTATGCGTCGTGTGTGTGAGTTTGCCTTAAATGGCCTAAATGGAGGGTTAAGAGCATTCATTTTTAATAATTTTCTTACTTAAATTGATATGCTGACTACAAGGAAGAAAAGATTATATTTTAGGAGAATTAATTTAGTTTACGTTACAAAGAGGAGGTTGACATTGATGTCTAGATTGTGGTTGAACCTTTTTTTTCAGAATTATAATTAATTTTATATTGCTATTATTTTTCAAAAATTAATATATATTTTCATATGACACAAGCTTCAAAATCTAAAAATAGGGAGTAAACAATACGTTTCAAAAAAATTCACTAGATCATTAAGATTTGTGATGCATTATACATAAAAAATTTTCAAAAATAAACTCCTGATTATTTGGGCGCTGATTTCAATAAATTTATAATCAAACTTAGCATCTTAATGAGTCAAACTAAACAACACCTAAAGTGATATGATCCAAGTTCAAATGAGCTCAAAATAAATACTTAAAAATATAAATAAAATTTTTGAGACATTAGTTGAATGCCCAAACAATCTCCAAATCTTGAATGCTTGTAATCAAATCAAGTATCTCAATAAGAAAATTTCAACTATGCCAATATTCTTACTTTTGATGTCATTACATTACTTAATTCTTAAAGAAATAGTTTATGATCAAAAAATTCAATATGGACCATAAAATGGAGTGTTATGAAATTTTCGTCAAATTTGTCAAAATATCACTCTAAAAAAATTATAAATCAACTCACACTCTCTATATGAAGTTGGTTTGAGCTTAAAATTTTAGAGCTCTACTCGATGTTCAACAATGAAAATTAACACTAATAATTAACATTTTCCAACTATCCTCATTGAACCACCATTGTCTGATCATCACCATCTAATCTTTGTTGCTTGGTTCTCATAGTCAACTTCCCATCATATGATTGCTATCATTCAACTATTATCCTATGATAGCCATCATTTGTCGTTGTCATCCAACAGTCATTGTATAACCGCTGTTACTTGACTGACATTAGCCAAATATCATTACAACATCTAGCTAATTAATATTAGTTAATTCCATTATCATCCCTCCAATAATTCTCTTATAGGCTTTGTTACAACTATATGAGACAAAAAAAAAAAGTGCTCCCAATTTTATAATCTCATATTCTTTAGTTGTGAGGAAGAGTGTGCTTTTGTAACTTCTAGTATATATCAAATTATTTTAATTGGATTAGACCTTATAATTTTTTTTCTTTCAAAATTTTATATAAAACTGTCTTGTTTGATGTATTCTTCTCCCTTATCTATGTGTTAAATCTTCATAAAAAGTTATGAAAAACTCTCTTATTATTATGCTTTGGATAGTTCATAATTATAGGATTTAATAATGCTTAAAAAATGGGGCATTTCAAAAAAAAAAAAAACATATGCATGCTAATAATGATGCAAGACCTAGGCTATAAGTTATAATATAATTAAAAGGAACAAATGGAGTGAAATATTCATGACCTAGTTGTTGAAAGAGAAATTTATTTCTCCGATATCAGAACTTTCACATAACTTTGTGCCCTTATTATTAAAAAATAATAATTATAAACTAGCAACATTTATCCTTCTTGGTGGAGCACTGAAAGGAAGGTTCAACAACTCTTTGTTTGAGGGAAATCACATTTTATATTCTCAATTATTATTCTCCTTCAATGGTCAATCATGTGAGGGGAAAAACTACCTATACATTTAAGAGGTCTATTGCTACATTTAGTTGTTTTTCTTTCACTACTATGCCTATTTTTGCAACGAATATCGCTTAACCAATTGGCAACTCAAACATAGTTTTGTACATGCGTAGCTTGGCATCTATGCTAGCCCTATCAATATACAGATGACCAATAATAAAATGAATTCCCACCATGGTTGGAGCATTATAGTATTAAAGTTGGCTATGGTTACATTAGTATCAAATCATTAATTAGAACTTAGCCAAAATCAGGATTTTCTAATTTTGATCAAGAGTTTATATTATTAAATTTTTATAGTATTCTAATTTCAAAGTAATCAATAATTATAAAATTCATATAATGAGTCATTATATTATGATTTTTTTTATTTATGAAGGGAAAAGTTTTTGGCTTAAATTTAATTATGATAAATAATTTAGGCATTAAATTTAATTTAATGTGACTTGAATATATAACTAATTAACTATTTTTTATATTACACCCATTCAAAATAAATTTAAATATTATAGAATTAATTAATTAAATTTAAGTCAAACATGGTTTAAATTATTTTTTGCCGTAGGCCGAGGACTCCAGCATCGCCATTGAGAGAGAGATGAAGAGATTGCAAGGCAAAGTCGCGATTGTTACTGCTTCAACACAAGGGATCGGCTTCGCCATCGCCGAGCGTTTCGCTCTTGAGGGTGCCTCTGTCGTCATCTCCTCCCGCCGGCAGGTCTCTCTCTTTCTCTCTCTCGCTCTCTGAATAGTAGGGTTGTTTGTTGACTATTTGGGGAAATTGCAGAAAAATGTTGATGCTGCGGTGGAGAAACTGCGGTCCAAGGGACTTGAGGTTATGGGGGTCGTATGCCATGTCTCGAATCTGCAGCAGAGGAAGGAACTCATAGACAAGACTGTCCAGGTTAAAAACCCCTTTATTAGTTTATGAAACACCGAACAAGTATAAAATGGTTTTTTTCTTACAAACTCAGTAAGGGATTTTTTCGACATTGGGGAGTGTGATATTAATTTCGGATTTTTTACTTTGTGCACGCTGAATAGAGTGCTTTGGGTTAAGAATTATAAAGATCCTTTGATATGCAGTTCAGAAGAAAAAAAGAAAAAGGAACTTATGTTGAGTTCAATGACTTATCTTTATTAGCCTGCTCTCTCATGTTAAAAAATTACTACTTTTTGCTTTCCAAAAATGCAATTACGAGGGGATTCGTGTCTCAGCCAGTGAATAAAGAGCTACGTTCAATTGAGTTGGGCATTGCGGTCTGATCTTGATGTTTTTCTTAATGTTAATCTACATTCTGCTCCTTCCTCTTATGCTTCTGGACATCCGAACCTTTTGCAAGTTGGGAAACAGTAGTGTTGAGTTGTGATCATCAAAATAAACAATGAGCCATATCTCTGTTTGCTTCTGTTATCAGGATTCTGTTCGATCATTCTTTCTGTTATTCAGGTCATGGATTAGTGTTCAAAGAGGCTGAAGTTGTGATTTATGTTTGTTATATATATATCTTTGTTGTCATCATTACCTTTGTACATCTGATAGAAGAAATCTAATCTAACCTTCTTGAGAATATGCAATCTGTGTTACTTATTTTTCCTGTTTCTTCCTTTATATCCCTTTAATTAACTCCTCTGACAATTATGCATAGATATTCTGAAGTTATTCTAAATGTAATTAGTTATTTCATCCACACTGCAGAGGTATGGAAATATCGATATTGTTGTGTCAAATGCTGCTGTTAACCCGACGGTTGATAATATCTTGGATATGAAAGAGACAGTTCTTGATAAGCTTTGGGAGATCAATGTGAAAGCTAGTGTTTTACTCCTACAGGTAGGAATCTGATAGGATGATTGCGGTTATTTGTGATTATGTTTAGTTTATGGTGCTCTCTTTCACTCATGTGACAGGCTGCTGCATCCTACCTGAAGAAAGGTTCATCTGTCATCTTTATTTCTTCTATTGCTGGATACAATCCAGAGCAAGGGCTGGCTATGTATGGGGTTACAAAAACAGCTCTTTTTGGGTTGACAAAGGTTGTTTGTTGCACTTTGTGTGATTATTTTTCTATTTCAAGGATGCAAACTACTTATAATTATTTGGTCATAATGTGTCTTTAAGCATCTTTTATTATCCACTTCATGTATTGATGATACTAGTTTCTATGTGGAATGATTAGATTTTAAAAGGAAATTCAAAATTTAATATATTTATTTTTTCAACCCTCTAAAAACCTTGCTCCAGTTTTATGATGCATTTTGTCTAGCTTCAGTTTAAATAAAATTTACTTTGAATGGTTATCATCTTATCTTTATCTTTACAGCCACATAACTAGATACCTAGCCAGGGAAGGGTACAATGAAAATAAAGTTCTAGAAAGCTTTTGCACTTTACATTGATAGTATTTTGTCTTCAAAGTTTTATTGAGTATGGTCCAATAATATGTACAATTTTAATTAGCTTATTGGATTATATATTAGTTGATTATCTTTGGGTTATTCTATGATTGTCAAGCGTCATCATAAGTCATCCTAATCCCTTTTTAAAATAGAAATGATACAAACCAGGTCAAGATGTTCTATTTATGTCAGAAAAGAGTTTAGCTGTCATAAATTTGTATTTAAGAAAATACATTCAATTAATATGTCAGGGGAATTATTTATCCTTAAGGGATAGTTTGGTTTGTTGAAAAATGAATGCAGAGTAAACAAAATACAATTTAAAAGGAATGCAAAGTATTTGAAACGTTTGAGCTTATTTGGATGGGTGTAAAAAGAATGCAATAGATTATTTTTTTTATTTAGCTTGAAGTAAATTGAATGCATGTAAAGTAAAAAAGTTTAGAGGCCGATGATGTGTGTTGGTGGTGGCGGCGGTCTGTGATGTGTGTTGGTGGTGGTGGACGGCAAGCCTACAATCATTGGTAGTGGCCGACGTTAGCAGACGTCGGTGGCGACTGTTTGTGGGTCCCGATAGTCGGCGGGAGGTGGCGGGCAATTGGTCGGCAGTGGGCGGCGGAGGCGGGCTGCGACTATGCAGTTGTCTGGCAATAAAAAAAATTTAGATAAAATTGAGCTAGTTTACTATATTTAAAAAATAAACTAAGAAGTAAAAAAGGAATTTAATGAAATTTTACATTACATTTCCTTTTCATCCAATCAAACACCTAAAATCTATTTTATATTGCATTATTTTTACTCTGCATTCCTTTTTTAGCAAAGCAAACTGCCCCTAAATCAACCTTTATGTGTAAAATCAATGAGAAATCTACATCCGCAAAATCAAACATGACAAATGAAAACAAGAAAAGATAGATTTGATATTTTGATGAGTAAGAATAATGATATACCCTTTAATCAGGAAATGAAGTTAATTAAAAAAAAAACTTTAGACGTATCTTTTGCAGAATGTAATTAGTTCAAGTTTTGAAAGTGTCTTCTTATCATGAATAAAGTTGATTCAATTTTTTTCTGTATTGAAACCTATGGTTCTTACACAACAAATTACACTGCCACAAGTTTGAAAATTATAAATGGCTTAGCTTCAAAGTCAAATTTCCCAAATAATGCTTCCTTTACTAGCGTTCGTGATAAGGAATACTTACTTGACCACAAGTGGATGGTGATAGATTTTTTTTACATCCTCAGTTTTAATCATTCAGTTTCAATCCAATAAATCCTTCATCAATTTTCACCATTTATAGCTACATTTGATTTGACTTCCTCTCTTCTATGATCAATTTCATGGTTCATTATTATCATCATTATCAGTAGTCATTCCCCATCTATTTGTGGTTTGCATTATGAATCCTTGCTTCCATTTATGACAGTTGATTTCTCATGAGGTATTATTATTGTCTGCAAAAATATTTTTGGCCAATTATCGTTTGTATGCTTATTTGAATATTAGAAAAAAGCATAATTCAGTTTTTATGTAGAAAAATTAGAATTGGAGAACTTTTATCTAATTTTGATCTTCTCAGGTAGGCAATAAAAAATCTGAACTAGCAAGCTGTTTCATATTTCATATTTTTGGTAGGGTAGTTATGCTCTTTGTTGATTTTCTTTCTACACATGTTGAAATTAAAATATTCACGATTTCAAATTTAGTAGAATCTCCCATTTTTCTTAGGGACTTGAACTTAGCTAAAACTTACATTAATTTATAAGTTGTGAACATTATTGCCAACTCTAAATAATTCTATGATCGTATGCCACTTCATTGGAACATGCTAGATTAGGGGATCACATGATTTTCTAAGAGGATGCAAAGAAAGAATGGCTGAGATGTCTACCAAGAGGATTAATTATCAAGAAGATTTTAGGATGCCGAATGTTATTAGAGTTCAAGAGGAATCAATGTTATCTAGACAACTCTTTTGCTTATAGACATAAGGTCTTCTTGTTGAGTCGTTTATTATTAAGCATCTCAAGTTGCAACTTGGCGCTAATTGTTTAAGTTGGCACCGTCTTTCCTGTAACTAAGTTTGGAACATTCATAATCAAATCCTTGACTTTTTATAGCAACCTTCCTTTGGTAACCAATGGTCTGGTTTTTTTAGAAAAGGGGCATTGTATGGTAGTATGTTGATGGATCTTTATCTAGTTGGTCTTTGATCTTCTAGAAGGGAGAGATAGATTAGAGAGTGAGATTTATAGGAAGAGAGATATTCTTCTTGCATTTTTGTAGTTGCCTTAGGTTTTGGATCTTTCACGTTTTTTTCAAAAGCTTCATTTGAAATCTTTATGGAGAAGTTCAAGAAAGATGCCAATGAAAAGAAAACATGCACTGCAACCAAATTGGAACAATCATTGTAGTTGGTGAATCAACTAGCTTCGAGCATTTTCTTGATGGCAATACTAAATATGAAAGAATTGAGTTCGACATGAGACCTTTTTGTGTCTGAGAAACTCTTCACCTTTCACGCAACAAGCGGTCAACAACGTGTTCAATTTGGTGAGTAAGAATAACCTAATCTCAAAAAGCCTAATTAAGCAGTTTGGATTTTAGAATTTTAGATGACTCCTTATCCACAAAGTTATACTCAAATAAATTCAGAAGGACTAGATGATGTTAAACAATTGTCGGTGATGTATTCACTTTAGCATTACTCTAGATTCTAGAATGCTTCAACAAGGTGATGCATAAATTGATGTCTCTTGACATTTGGTGAATTATGTTTAGTAGGCCATATTTATGAGACTAAAATAATATCTTCTTCATGCAATAATATCTCCTCTATAAAGATCATATCAACTATGCTATTAATAAGATCAAGCGATGTCGTCCTCGTCATGTTAGCAGTTGCACAAGTGAAAAGAATCATAAAAGCATGCCCATGCTAAATTTTGTTGTTCATCTTTTTTTGAAAGAAATGCTAATATTGCATTAAAAGCAGACGGAAAAAAGAAACAATTACAAACTACTCAAGTAACACCTAAAGAATCACATTCCTCCTTTAAGCAAGACAAGAAAGAAGGAGGAATCAAACCAACATTAAGTTCTTCCCACAAAAAAGAACTTTGTAAAGCCAAATTAGCACAAATATCCGCTAATTTGTTACCACTTCTACTAGAAAAAGAAAACACAACTTGTTTGAACTCTAGCAAGAAAGCCAAATTATCTTCAATCTTTCTACTAACCTTCCAGCTCTTAACTGAATTTTGAAGCAGTTTAATGATATTGAAGTTGTCCCCTTCGATGATAACTCCTTGAGCTTCGAACATCCAATCCTGGACCACATTTTTTAGATACAAAACAGCTAATAATTCCATCTGTGCAGCGTCCCAATGCAAGAACTAAACTCCAAAAGCAACCAAGAATCTTCCTTTATCATCTCTAGCAACGCCTCCAATTCCAGCTAAATTATTCCTCCTGAGAGCTGCATCCACATTTATCTTTATCCATCCGAGAGGAGGAGGATGCCAAGGACAAAACAGCAAGCGCTGGTTGGCATCCCAGTTATCCGGTTGGAAATTTAAAAAATTACTCCTTACTGCAAAGGAAATATAGCATTTGCAGCAATGGTATTATCAGATTCATCATTGTCACCATGAACCAACTTGCATCTACTCTTCCAAACAAGACATGCGGTTGTACAGTAAATGTTTGCAATGAGAGTATTCTTACCCACGTACCTTTGAAGTCCTTCTAAGCATTCAAAAAAACTGTCAAACACCGGAACCAGAAATCCCCAACTATTCAGTAGAGAGACCACTTTCCGGAACTTAGAACATCTTCCTGCTATATGGCTGTTATCCTCTACCTCTTCACAGCCTCTCGGACAACCTGGAAAGTTACTTAACCTCCTCCTCACAAGGAAAGTATTAGATGGAATAGCATTATTACAGTCTCCACCAAAAAAGTTTAATTTTCGGCTTTAAATTAAGTCTTTTCATCCAATTCCAATGAGCACTCTCATCCTCATGTACCATAGCAGCTTCAAAGGACATGGCAACAATAGATTTCCCAGAAAATTTACCTTTTAATTCCATGAGATCTGAATTCCTGCCATCTACAATAGAAATTTTTGAAATGAGATTCAGCAGCTATACACCAAATACAACTTGTAGTTTATCCATATTCCATTGGCCATTTGAGATGAATGAGCTTAGATTGAAATCGGATATTTCCTGTATATTAACAAATGTAGGCCAATATGCAATGCCTTTGCCTAAAATCCATGAATCATATAGCCAATTGATAGATTTCCCATTGGAAATATTCTATCTAACAATGTTTTTAAGATATTTAGCTCCCATAGTAATAATCTTCCATGTAGGTGAACACCCTTTCTTCACTAGGACCGACCACACATCTTCTCCATATTTTGCTCTCAGAATTTGGTTCAATAAAGAATTAGGTTTCATGCAAAAATTCCACGCAAATTTGGCCCGTAGAGGTCCTATCTTAGATACTGCTGAGAATAAACCTCTACCACCTTCATTCTTCGGCTTACAAAGTAAATCCCAAGAAGCATAATGAAGTCCAGCATTGCCATTATTTTTACTCCATAAGAATCCTCTACACATCTTAT